GCAGCCAACAAGGAAAACTCCTCCCTTAAAGAAACAATCACACATTTGGAGGTTGGTATCACCAAGAAGGATCTTGAACTGGCAAAGGTGAAAGATGAACTCAAGGAAGCAACTCTAGCAATCAAGAGGATGAATACCGGCACAACTAAACTCAAAGAGATTGTGTCACTGGAGAAGTACAACAAAAATGAAGGTCTAGGGTTCAAAAACCAAGTGAAGAAGCACATGCCAGTAAAGAAGAAGGAGATTGTCTTTGTAAAAGAGAAGGGTTCAAATGGAAAAGAATGCAGAAATTCCACAGTCACCACTCCAGAGTCCAGAATAAGGGGATACATTTGTCATTATTGTTTCTCACCAGGACATATTCGTCCATTTTGTGAAAAACTCAGTAGTGACAAAATGTTGTACAGGATGAGTCACATCACTCCAGGGAACACCTCCAAGAAAAAGGTAGAATTTACCAAAAATGAGTGTAGAATATGGACTCCCAAAGGTAAACTTATGTGCAAAGTAGTATACACTTCTTTAGATGCTAACATTTCAGGTTCATGGTACTTTGATAGTGGATGCTCTAGGCACATGACTGGAACAAAAGAATTTCTATCAAACTACCATACACTTAATGGAGGACGTGTAACCTATGGAGGAGGAGCTAAAGGCAAAGTGGTTGGACGTGGAACACTCAGTATTGAGGGACTTCCAAAACTTTCAAATGTTTTACATGTTGAAGGATTGGGGTCAAATCTCATCAGTATTAGTCAATTGTGTGATGATGATCTACGTGTTCAATTTGATAAATACTGTTGTTCTGTGTTTGATAATCAAAATCATTGTGTACTGACAGGTTCCAGGTCAATGGATAATTGTTATCAAACAGGTGACACCATCTCATGCAAGAGCTCAAGAGTAAGTGAAGTAGAGCTGTGGCACCAGAATCTAGGGCACACAAACTTCAAAAATCTGAAGCTGCTCAACAAGTACAATGCCATAAGAGGAATTCCAGATCTCAAGATCAAGGACATTCCTATATGCGGAATGTGCCAGAAGGGAAAGCAAACTAGAGTGCCATACAAAGTGTTACAACACGTTGGTACCACCATTTGTTTTGAACTTGTACATATGGACCTTATGGGTCCTATAGAGGTAGAAAGTCTAGGTGGTAAAAAATATGTATTTGTGTGTGTTGATGATTTTTCGAGATATACTTGGGTGTATTTTTTAAGATAAAAATCTGATCTAGAATACATGCATGTGGTTGGATGTGTTTGCTATGTCCTAAATGATAGAGATCATCTAGCTAAATTTGATTCAAAAAGTGATTTGAGTTTATTTGTGGGATACTCTAATAACAGTCATGTATATAGAGTATATAACTTAAGAACTCGAACCATTATTGAATCTGTAAATGTGGTATTTGATGATTTTGCTGATCTCCGCAGTAAAACAGCTGAAGATGAAGTTGATGACCTGATTGCTGAAGGAGAAACAACTGGAGGAGACACTACTGCCACAGATGCTCCAGAAATAAACAGTCCAGTATCAAGAGAAGAGGGTGTTGAGCCAAGTGTTACCACATCTGACTCAATACTTCCTACAGAGAGCACAGACGCTAAAATGCAGCCAACTCATGATGTCTGCAGAAAGGAACCATCAAGTAGAATCCAGAAAAATCACTCCTCTACTCAAGTTGTGGGAGATATCTTTGATGGGATAAGGACCAGAAGAAAAGAGAGAGTGAATTACAGAGATATGGTAAGATTTGCAAATTTATCTTCTGAATGTGCACTAACTGGAACTACTTGCTTTGTATCTTGAGTCGAACCAAGGAATATTGCAGAAGCACTGAAGGATGAGTTTTGGATTAATGCAATGCATGAAGAGCTGAATCAGTTCATCAGGAATGATGTTTGGTACTTAGTTCCCAGACCAAGTCATGTAAATGTGATAGGAACTAAGTGGATCTTCAAAAATAAAACTGATGAAAAAGGTACAGTTGTTAGAAATAAGGCTAGGTTAGTAGCACAAGGTTATACTCAGATTGAAGGTATATATTTTGATGAAACATTTGCTCCAGTAGCTAGAATTGAATCTATTAGGTTACTTCTTGCTATAGCATGTTTCCTTAAAATCAAATTGTATCAGATGGATATCAAAAGTGCATGTCTAAATGGTATTTTAAATGAAGAAGCATATGTAGAGCAGCCCAAGGGTTTTGAAGATTCTGCCAAGCCTAATCATGTTTTCAAGCTTCAGAAGGCTCTGTATGGTCTTAAACAAGCTCCTAGAGCTTGGTATCAAAGACTCACTGACTTCTTACTTGAAATACATTTTACCAGAGGAGAGGCAGACATAACTCTATTTGTTAGAAGAACAAATAACCATATCATTATTGTACAGATATATGTTGATGATATTGTTTTTGGTTCTACTTGTGCTAACCTTTTACAGTCTTTTGTAGATTCTATGTCTCACACTTTTGAAATGAGCATGGTAGGAGAGTTGAATTACTTTCTAGGACTCCAAATCAAACAGACAGGTGAAGGAATTTTTGTAAATCAAAAGAAGTATGCTCTCAATCTGGTCAAAAGGTTTGAGTTGGAGTCAGCCAAGCACATGAAAACTCCAACGGGTTCAAGTCAAAAACTGTCCAAGGATGATGTTGCTGAAGATGTTGGCAGCACCCTGTACAGAAGCACGATTGGAAGCCTTCTGTATCTAACAGCAAACAGGCCTGACATTATGTTTAGAGTTTGTGTGTGTGCCAGGTATCAAGCTAATCCCAAAGTCACTCATCTTAAAGCTGTGAAGAGGATTATTAGGTATGTTGCAGGTACACTAGACTTAGGGATTCAGTTTTTCAAAGACACAAATTCAAATTTGATAAGGTTTAGTGATTCTGATTGGGCTAGGGATATTAGTGACAGAAAAAGCATCTCAGGTGCATGTTTCTTTTTGGGGAATAATCTGGTTTCATGGTTTAGTAGAAAGCAAAATTGTGTATCTCTTTCAACAGCTGAATCAGAATATGTAGCTGCTGGAGGATGTTGTGGTCAACTAATTTGGATGAAACAAATGTTGGGAGATTATGGGTTAACCAGTGATACCCTGACCATATATTGTGATAATTCAAGTGCTATTGACATTTCAAAAAATCCTGTTCAACACTCACGAACTAAACACATAGATATTAAACATCATTTTATTCGTGATATAGTTGAGAAAAATATAGTGTGCTTAAAGTACATTCCTACAGAAGATCAGCTGGCTGACATCTTTACAAAGGCATTAGATTATGAGAGGTTTTCTAAACTCAGAAAATCTCTCGGGATGTGTACTCAATAAACATGTCCTGAAATGTGTTGCAGCACCTCATCAAATATCTTAAGCTGCAACATAATTTACTGAAGCATTAGCTTCATTAAATAATGACTTCACTGTGATGGATTATTTTCTAAATCAGTAACTGGAAGTCTTTCACCTTGAAACGTGATCATGCTTCATGTAAACATTTAGACAATAATTACACTCACATAAGTCAAACTCCTCTATTTTGATAGTCATATCTTAGTAACTGAGGAACCTTCAAACTGAACACTTGATCATGTTCCATGTGAATTGTTTGACTTGAAAATAAGAGTTTATATATATTAAAAAAAAAATATATATAAATAAAAACATATATATATATATATATATATATATATATATATATATATATATATATATATATATATATATATATATATATATATATATATATATATATATATATATATATATATATATATATATATATATATATATATATATATATATATATATATATATATATATATATATATATATATATATATATATATATATATATATATATATATATATATATATATATATAAATATATAATAATAATAATATCTATGCCTGTCAGCAAATTTTTTTTCTCACTATTAATCATTAATAAATGTGTTTTTCTATTTTTGTGAATATTTCATGAGTGCTACGGTTTTATTTTTATTTTTATTGAATTATCTGTCATGACCCATGATGGTGACGGCGGCGGCAACAGCGGTGGCGACGGTGGTGAGTTGAAGAACGGCAATAATTTTGGAAGTGAAGTGGGATTGAGTTTTGCAGCTGGGCCGAAAGCAAGTGGGCCGAAATTTATTAATGAGTCGGGACCAAGTGCAATTGGAGATTGGAAAAAAATAATTAAATATCTTAATTGTTATTTTCAGATTTTAATTATTATTTGAGATTTTTGTTATAAGGGTTGGACGAGTTGAATGAAAGGCATTAAGCCAATTTTCAGAATTTATCTCTCATCTCTGTATTCTTCTTCTTCCCCAAGTTTTCTTCCTCTCTAATTTCTTCCCCCAATTTCTATATCAATTATCAATTTAATTTCTACTTTTATATTATAATTAAACCATAAAAATACCCAAAAATAGCTGGGATCTTACATTATCCCTATTTTTATGGGTCATGGGTACATGGGTTAGTTCTTTATTTTCCACTAAGTCCACTCCTTATTGTGCCATGTGTCACGTTTTTTTTTTCTTTAAACTGCCAAGAAAACTTTTATTCTCCTTAATCACACTCTCCAAGAAAAACGCACACCACTTCTTCACCTTCTCCACTTCAATTTTTTCTTTCTTTCTTCAGCAAAATTAGGGCTTATAAATTTCGTGCTTCTTCTCTCAAAAATTCACACTCAAAAATCAATAGCACAAAGAAGCAATCTTTCTCTATCTACTGTATCATGGCATCCCCACCTAGAAATCCTCTTCCAGCCGCCGTTGGTGATGTCCACAACGATGCTGCAGCACCTGAACCAGCAGACCCAAATCTGGCCATCATCGTTCATCCAGTCAACCTTGAAGCTGTACCAATCAGCTACATTGAGCCCGGAGATGAGCTGAACCCAATCGACCCAGACAACTTCGAGTTCGTGGGTCCCTCTTCCACTGCCGAAAGGTTTCCAACGCGCCGGTCCAAGCGCATGAACCCCTTCCCAGATCTGAATACTGCTGTGCCACAACGCCGGAGGGGAGAAAACTCTCCCCGAAGAGGAAGCAGAGGTGGAAGAAGAGGAGGCAGAGGTGGCCGTACTCCAGTTAGGCCAAATCCACCAAGAAGTCTTCATTTGGTGGATGAAGAAACTGATGATGAAGAAGAAGATCCTAACTTTGCAGCACCGGAGGCTCAAGCTCTATCCTCCAGCTCCTCTGAGTCATCATCAAAGGACTCACCTCCCCCAGCATCGACTCAGGGGGAGACATCTCAGCCTAGCATGGCAGCAGCAGCCTCTCAACATCCTGTCTCTGAAGGTGTTGTTGCACCTGCTCCAGAAGATGCTGCTGCACCCACTGTCTCAGCAAATGTTCCTCAGAATGCTGCCGAGGATGCTGCTCCTTATCAGGATGAAGAAATGCCTGATTTTTCTGGGATGTCATCTGCAGAGCATGTTGACATTCCCACTGTTGATGCTCAAGATTTCACTACTACTGAAGAAGCACCCTCAGCTCCAAATGAAGATCCTCTGGAAACTCTGGCAGAGGCAGCTGTTCAAGTGGATGCACCACCTTCCCAGGCTGAAGAGGAAAAGAAAAGTGATGACAGTTGGGAAGTGCCCTTGCCTCTTTCCGCAAGAATTTGCCATCCTCAGAGTCAGACAGTGATTCTTCCGAGGACTCATCTCAGATGGAAGAAGATGCTGCTCCACCTGTTGCATCACCTGAGCCAGCATACATCCCAGATGAACTTGAAGACTCAGAAGAAGAGGAATCCTCTGAGGAAGAAGAGCTAGACTTGGATGTGAAGGATCTGTCAACTCCTATTGAGGTAAACAATACCTTCAGTCCTATCTTTTATTTTGAATCTGATTCAAATTTGAGTCCTCAAATCATGAATTGCCAATTCATTGATGAAAATAAAATTTTCAAGGATGAGTTTGATAGACATAGGATCACTGATTTTCATAGGGACTTGATCAAAGAAAAATCCTTAGTCTAGTTGAGGTTGTCTGTCCTTATGAAGGAATTTTTATGCCAAATTACAAATTTTTTTTTAAAGAAAAATTCTCCAAACTTTGGAAAAGTTTTTTTTGTGCGAATCAATTTTCTCTTTTTCTCCCAAAATTATCAACTCTCATTTACAAACTCATACTGTGATTGATGAGGATAATTATGGTGATTTTACTGAAGTTTGTAAAACTCTTTTTGGCAATCGTTTTAAATCCCTCTCTCATCTACTCCATTCTGCTTTCTCAAAATTTTAAGATCTTCCCTGGAATGGAGATAATTTCCTCTCAACTGAATCAGGTCAAAATAATCTTGGTACTGAAGGTGTTGCTCCTCATGTTGACAACACTCCTGACATCCTTATTTCTGTTTCTCGAGATTTTTTTTTGTTAAAACAGCTTACTCACTCCCTAGTTCAGATCACCTTTCATCAGTCCATGGTGAAGATGCTACAGAAAGCTCTTTCTGATCAAAAAGGGGGAGAACAAGCTAGTTTGGATGCCAGAGGCAGAGCGCATGGAGTTAATGAAGAAGGAGAAAAAAATGATGGTGAAGCTCAAGGAGCAGAGGAAAGCAGTGGATCCAGTGCTAGTGATGGAGGAACAGCAGCTGATACTGAGGAGACTTTGGATATTCTGCTCTAAAGTTATTTTTATGAACAATATTTGCTTTTGTTCAGTGTGTTATTTTCCCTCTGATTTTTTATGCTAGGATTGCACTATTTTTGTTATTTGCTATATTGGTTATCATATTCAGGGGGAGTTCAAGCAATGACTCGGGGGGAGTTAAGCTAAAATTTAGTTTTGATCAGAAAGTTAAAAAGGGGGAGTTTGAAATACGTGGAATGTGGGATTCCACAATTGATTTTTAACTCTCTTATTTTTCAAACTAAATTTTACTTATGATTAAGTGCTTAGTGGGCTAAGTAGTGCTTAGTGGGTTAAGTATAGTACTTAGTGGGTTAAGTAGTGCTTAGTGGATTAAATTGTGGATTTTATCTTAACTTCTAAACTAACCCACTAACCCATTTTCTTGAGTGCTCTTGTGGTTGGTTTTCTTGCAGATCATGGGCTGAGGAGTGGAAGCTTGAAATGTCTATAAATACCGATTTCAATACTCAATGAAATTGATCGATTCTACGAAATAAAAACCGAGAGCAAAAGAGAATACGTGATTGTTTTAGTGTGGTTTTAGAATCGGTTGTTTGTACTCTTCATGAGTGCATTCTTTACGTACTCTTCGTGAGTACATTATTTACGTACTCCTTATGAGTACATTCTTTACGTATTTCTCATAAGTACATTCTTTGTAGTCTAGATTGTTTAGTATATATGTTTCTAGACTTGGTTGTAAGAATGATCAAGATAGTGATTCATTCATAAGTTATTTACGTACTCCTCACGAGTACATTCTTTGAAATCTAGAATTTTTAATATTTTTCTTTTAGTATCTAGATTTGATTGTAAGAATGATCATGAGAATGATTCATTCATAAGGAAGAAGTTTTCGCACCTCTTCTGTTTGTATTCTTGGAATACTGATGTTAATATATTTTTCCGTCCTGTAAAGGGCAAGTTCACAAGTCTTTACTTGTGAACATTTTTTAAATCTGAGTATTGTCTTTTTATCTTTATATTTCCGCTGCATGTTTACTTAAGTGTCATAACACTTCGGATAACATCTCTGTATTAAACGAATTCGGGACCATAAATTCTTTCAATTAAACTAATATTAAAGAAGTAAAAACTCAAAAATTCAAAATATAAATTTATAGACCTCTACATACCATTTTTGTTTTGTAATTGTTATTTCCTTTTATTTTTTATAGATTTACTTATTATAGAAATTTAGTAAAAATGACTCTTAATTATGAAAATCATTACCGGCCCGATTATTAAGGGTCGGATAATGGTTGGCAACCGACTTTGTAGGTAAATAATGGGTGGTTCGTTGGTATTATCAGTCATCTATTTATTGATTATTATTTATTTATTTATTTTTATTACAATAATAAGATAAGTTTTTTCAAAAGATATTCAAAAACATTTGAAAACTTATGTTGTAAAAATCTTAACTTTAAAATTAAGAGTTTTTTGTTTAATTAAACTTCAAAAATAAGTAAATTTAATGAAGAATATGAAATAAGAATTATAAAAATAGAAATAATACGGATAGGTTTATAAATTTTTATTTTTGAGTTTTTGATATTACCCAACTAACCGACCTTTGAGTAAATTGGTAACTACCGACCGACCGATTAGTACATAATAACTAATAAATTTATGGAATAATTATTATTATTATTATTATTATTATTATTATTATTATTATTATTATTATTATTATTATTATTATTATTATTATTATTATTATTATTATTATTATTATTATTATTATTATTATTATTATTATTATTATTATTATTATTATTATTATTATTATTATAAACTATGCACTGTTAAAAATGAATTCGATAAAACATTCAAATAAGACAATTATTATGGCTAAAATATGTAATTTATTGACATAATTGTTCCAAAAAATAATAATAAGAGATTGTCGCATTAATTTCTATAGGTAATTTGCTAAAACCTGAACCCCAAGTTTTCTTGTTTTTAACGTAAGTTTCCATCAATCCTGAAATTAAGTATGGTAATATTAATTATAGTTAAGTTAAATTTCAGAATTTTGTAAATCTTCAAAGATTCTTTTATTTCCATAAAAATATAAACTGGTTAATATATGAAAGGAATTACGTGTTGCATGCCATGCGTACTGGTGAAATACTTTAATTAATTATTGTATCTCTATATATATATAAACCCTAACCCTCGTCCTCTTTGATCACACAAATCTCACTAATAATTAATAATTCTCTACGCTCTTTCGTCCTCGTCTCTCTCTCTCTCTCTCCATTAGTTCGATCAATAATTAATCGCGGTACGTACTTCTGTTTATCTTTAATTCCCTTTCATTATATATATATATATATATATATATATATATATATATATATATATATATATATATATATATGTATATGATACGGGCCATTATGACGAGATGAGCAAAATGCAAATTGAGAGAAGACAAGTTATTATAAGGCCCGATGTCGGACGGCGACCTCCGAACAACGAGCCGGCAATACCATGACTCGTATTCCAGTATAAATCCGACCTAAAGTAGGCCCAATAAGAGAGGCCCAAACATTTGACTTGAGAGGGGAGCAAACCCTAAAAAGGAAACCTTGGGGGCCAAGGTTTCTTCATCTATAAATAGAAGGATCATTAAACACACACACACACAAGAATATACATTAATTATTGTTACATTGCATACACATTTTTCCTCTATTCCGATCACTGACTTGATCGTCGGAGCTTTCCCGCCGGGAACCTCTCCCGGCGTTGCAGGTATCTTCACCGGAGTACGGACCTAGTTGACTTGAAGAAGACGGAAGCCCCACGGACCAAATCAAGTGGCGCCGTCTGTGGGAAAGATCTAGAAGTTTCGGGAAACAACTTCCGGGAAAAATCAGATCTGCCCCCGGAAGTCCAGATCTGAGCTATAAACGTAGAGAACAATGGAAGAAGGAGATACCACTGCCCGGAATTTGTAGAAAGAATTAGATGCAGCAGCTCGCGATACGCCCACTGCCGATCCGTCCTCTGTCTTGAAGGACAAGTCAGGGTGCAGCTTGGTTACGCCTGGAAAGGAGAGTCGGATTCCGTTCGTCGCGGGTAGCCCCTCTTTCGAATTCCAGAGTGGTGAAGCTGCTTCAAGAAAACCAGTCACGGCCCCGACTCAAACCCCCAATGAGCGTACATACACCAGAGACGAGGTGGAGACCATGATCACCGCAGCCATTCGGAACTACACTCAAACCTTACCCCAGGATAACCGGCCTAGAAGAGACCTTAAGCGTTCCCCGAATGAAGGACGGGCTGAGGATGAATGCGACAGCTATTCTGAGAATCGAGAAGGCAACAGTCATGGCATCAGGACGGAGGTTGATAGCCTGAGGCGCGATATGGATGAGTTAAAAGCTCTGCGGAACGGACCAACACGAGATCTCGCAGGATCTAGCCCCTTCGCCAGGCATCTCGATAACGACCCCATACCAGCTAATTACCGACCAATTCTGTTCGAATATAACGGCACGTCAGATCCAGCCGAGCACTTGAGTCGGTTCAACAACACAGCATCGCTCCACCAGCTCACGGAGGGGGTGAAGTGCCGCGCCTTCGTCACCACTTTAGCTGGGCCGGCTCAAGCCTGGTTCGGTTTGTTGCTGCCTGGGAGTATACATTCCTTTGGACAGTTTGCTAAGGCCTTCATGAATCAATTCGCTAGCTCGAAGAAGTGCAAAAAAACCTCGCTGTCGCTGTTCAGCATCCGCCAGAAAGAGAAAGAAAGTTTGCGGAACTATATCAAACGGTTCACTTCGGCCATGCTGGAGGTCCCCACCACGAGCGACGAGGTGCTTATGGCAGCTCTTTCACAAGGATTAAGGGATGATGAGTTCTTTCGAGCCCTGGCGCTGGAACCCTCACCTGATTTCGACAATTTGTTGGAAAGAGCATCCAGATTCATCAATCTTGAAGAAGCCCGACAACAGAAAGTAGAGGAATCTCACCAGACGCTGAATGCGCGAGCCAACGAAGCCAGGAAAAGTAAGGAGCCCATGTTGCCCCGAAGAGATGCAATACCCGGCGTTGGCACTGGTCGAGGCACCGTCTCGGATGCCAAGGGGTCCCGATATCAGTCGTACCAGCCTCTCACGGCACCCTTATCCCAAGTGTTATGCGCAAACGAGAAGAGGCCTGACTTGCGTTGGCCTCGGACTGCCCGAGAAGAGCCTCGCCGAAATCCCGCATTAGGTAGCTTTTGTCGTTTCCATAACGAATACGGACACATGACGGATGATTGTTCACATTTGAAAGATGAGGTGGAGCGTCTTATCAGAGATAACAAAATCGGGGACTTTGTGAAGATAGACCCTCCCCGAGGGCAAAAGCGCGAAGCTCAATTCGGAAATCCTGCACGAGTCCCGCCTCCGCCACCGATACCCAAACGAGGGTACATCCAGATGATTTCGGGAGGACCTACGGGAGGGGACACTCACCGAGCTAGGCGGCGTCATCTCGGTAACCTCAAGAATAACCATGAAATCTGCCAAATCTCTGCACCGAAGCGCCGTCAGTATCCCACCATCTCGTTCGGACCCGAGGATGAAGCAGATCTCGATGATTTTCATTGCGATCCCCTCCTTATCACAATCAACGTCGGAGGGTACGATGTAGCCCACGCCTTTGTCGATTCGGGGAGCTCGGTTGATGTCATATCTTACGAATGCTTCCTACAAATGGAACTCGATCTCCCAATCTTCCCTGTCACCACCCCGATATTTGGATTCACGGGAGGATCCTTGACTCCGATCGGACAGGTCAAGATCCCCGTCACCATGGGAACACCGCCTCGAGCACGTACACAAACTGTCAACTTTGTCATTGTCGAGGGGTCCACTACCTCGTACAACATCGTGATAGGGCGGCCGATGATGCACATCTTCCGGGCGATTCCCTCAACTATTCACCAAAAGCTCAAATTTCCAGTTGACGGAGTAATAGGAGAAGTCCGTGGTGATCAAGCTCAGTCACGATCTTGTTACGTAGAAATGGTCAAAGTGGCGGAAAAAAGACGACGTGATACCTTCACTAAAGAAGATCTGGGAGACGAGAAACGCCCTCGGATTGACCCGGAAGACAAAGTCGCTCATGTACAGCCCATGGACGAGTTGATGACAATTGACCTTGGCCCTGGCACGTCGAAGCAGACCCAGATAAGCAAAGACCTGGAACCACCCTTTCGAGATGAGTTGATAGCATTATTGCGATCTAATGTAGACGTCTTCGCATGGCAGCCCAGCGACCTGACTGGTATCGCACCTCGCACCGCTGTACATAGGCTCAATCTGCGACCCGAGTGCAAACCTATCAAACAAAAGCGACGACACTTCGGCATTGAAAAGGACGAAATTATCAAACAAGAAGTCCAACGACTTCTCGATATTGGGCATATTAGGGAAATCCAATTCCCCACCTGGTTATCCAATGCGGTGTTGGTGCAAAAGACTAATGGACAGTGGCGGATGTGCATCGATTTTCGGGACTTAAACAAGGCCTGCCCGAAAGATGACTATCCCTTACCCCGCATAGACCAGCTCGTAGACGCTACCGCCGGATGTGAGCTACTCAGCATGATGGACGCTTCGCAAGGATACCACCAGATCCCGTTGGAGGAAAGGGACCAACCTGCAGTGAGCTTTATCACAGCCACGGGCACTTATTGTTATGTGGTGATGCCTTTTGGCCTGAAAAATGCGGGAGCTACGTATCAAAGGCTAATGGACAGGATGTTTCGGGCTCAACTCGGGCGCAATATCGAAGTTTACGTCGACGACATGCTGGTCAAAAGCAAAAAGTGCTCCACGCACCTTGCTGACTTGGCTGAGACATTTGCCACCCTTCGCCTTTATGGGATGAAGTTGAACCCGGCAAAATGTGCATTCGCAGTAAGGGCTGGAAAATTCCTCGGGTATGTAGTTAATCGAGAAGGTATCAAGGTGAACCAAGATAAAGTCGAGGCGGTACTCCGAATGACTCCTCCTCGGTCTATCAAAGAAGTTCAGTCCTTAGCAGGTAAAGTGGTGGCTTTGGCTCGATTCATATCGCGAATGGCTGATAAAAGTCTGCCTTTCTTCAAAGTCTTGAGAAAAGCGGCACAGTTCGAATGGACCGAAGAATGCCAACTCGCGTTCGAGGCGCTAAAAGTTTCGTTAACTCGCCTGCCCATCCTTAGCACCCCTGAGAAAGGTGAAACCTTATTCGTATATCTATCGGTGGGAGACGAATCGATTAGTTCGGTCTTGTTCAAAGAAGTAAGTGGTCAACAACGACCGATCTATTACATCAGCAAGATCCTCACTAACTCGGAGATTAGGTATTCAGAAGTTGAGAAAATAGCATACGCGTTGGTCCTCACTACGCGGCGAATCCGGCCTTATTTCTTATCTCACACAATGGTAATCCGTACGAGCTTACCACTCCGTCAAACTCTAGGCCAGCCTACGGCATCGGGACGAATTGTTAAATGGGCAGTTGAGTTAGGACAATATGAAATTCAATATCAACCTCGTACCTCGGTCAAAGGACAAGCGTTGGCGGATTTCATCCGGGAAACCACTAGGATACCTATGGAGAAAGAGTGGAGAGTCTACGTGGATGGGTCATCTACAGCGACAGGAGCAGGGGCAGGAATCATAATCATCGACCCCACGGGAATCGAGGTGGAATTTGCTGTTAAATTACCACGAGTCTCCAATAACGAAGCGGAGTATGAAGCCTTTATCCGGGGTATGGAAATCGCCCAAGAACTCGGTGCACGGGTGGTACGAATAAACTCCGACTCTCAATTGGTTATACATCAGTTAGAAGGGGATTACGAAGTGAAGAACGATAGAATGAAAGGATATGTAAACAAAGCCCGAGCAATACAAGAAACTTTAGAAGCTTGCACCGTACATCAGATTCCGAGAAACGACAACCAGCGAGCCGACTTCCTCGCTAAAATTGGGTCGTCGGTCGTCGACTGCGTTGAAAGGAAGATCTCCATTCTCATTGCTCCTACGCCGACACCCGGAATCATGATGATCGATGAGGAATCCGATTGGCGAACACCTTTGTTCGCATATTTCAGAGGGGAACGAACCGGTACAACTAGAGAGCAACATCGCTTAGCATACAAAGCCAGACACTTCTACGTGCGACATGGGATATTATATAAAAGAAACTTCACCACGGTGGATGCGAGATGCTTAGGAAAACAAGAGGTGAAACATGTTCTGGACGAAGTACACCGAGGAGGTTGTGGAGAACATGGAGGAGCTCGGGCCCTCATACAGAAATTACATCGGGCTGGATACTATTGGCCCGGCATGAAGAGAGACACCCATCAATATGTGCAACGTTGCATACAATGTCAGAAATTTGCCCCACTTATCCATAAACCGGGAGAAGAAATGACCATCATGAGCGCCCCCTGCCCTTTTGCCCAATGGGGAATTGATCTAGTAGGACCTTTTCCTCAAACCGCTGGCAGAAAGAAATTCTTCATCGTCGCGGTGGATTATTTCACCAAGTGGGTTGAAGCTGAGGCCTTGTCAAAAATAACAGAGGACGAGGTCATGCATTTCATTTGGAAATATATTTGTTGTCGGTTTGGCCTACCCCGAAGTCTCGTCTCGGATAATGGCACTCAATTCAATGGCAAAAAGATTCGCGCATGGTGTGAAGAGATGAAAATCACACAGAAGTTTGTGGCAGTAGCACACCCTCAAGCCAATGGCCAGGTCGAATCTACAAATCGAACCATTGTCAACGGCTTAAAAAAGAGGATAGACGAACTAGGAGGCAGCTGGGTGGATGAGTTACCTTCGGTCCTTTGGTCCTACCGAACCTCGGCCAAAGCAGCTACCGGTGAAACACCATTTCGGTTAACCTATGGAACTGAAGCCGTTATTCCAGTAGAAGTGGCAATGGATACACTCCGCATAGCCACGTTCGATGAAGAAGCAAATGACGGTGCATTGAGAACCCGGCTGGACGAGATTTTTGACTTGCGAGAAGCAGCCTATTTACACATGGAACGAAGCAAGAATTTAATCAAGGCCCGATATGACCAAGGGGTCCGATCTCGCTCATTCCAGATCGGTGATCTCATTCTACGACGAGCTGATGCCCTAAAACACACAGGAAAACTGGAAGCTAATTGGGAAGGACCATACGTGGTCACAAAGTGCTTGGCTGGTGGAGGGTACGAGCTGGCAGATGTAGAAGGAAAACCATTGCCACGGGCATGGAATGTCATCCATTTGAAACGCTTCCTCGCGTAAAAAAAAAAAAAAAAAAAAAAAAAAAAGAGGAAGAAACAGAGAAGCAACACATCTTGTAAAGAAAAACATCAATAAACGTCCATTTTTCGAGCTGGGCTAGGCCCCGTGGTTTTTTCTCTCCTTATTTGGAGGGTTTCCACAATAAAAATATCCTTGTGTTATCTATTTAAATTACAAACCGAGGCGTTAAATCGCGTGTTTTACCGAGGCATTAAATCGCGTGTTTTACCGAGGCATTAAATCGCGTGTTTTACCGAGGCGTGTTTTACCGAGGCGTTAGATCGCGTGTTTTACCGAGGCGTTAGATCGCGTGTTTTACCGAGGCGTTAGATCGCGTGTTTTACCGAGGCGTTAGATCGCGTGTTTCACCGAGGCGTTAGATCGCGTGTTTCACCGAGGCGTTAGATCGCGTGTTTCACCGAGGCGTTAGATCGCGTGTTTTACCGAGGCGTTAAATCGCGTGTTTCACCGAGGCGTTAAATCGCGTGTTTCACCGAGGCGTTAAATCGCGTGTTTCACCGAGGCGTTAAATCGCGTGTTTTACCGAGGCGTTAAATCGCGTGTTTCACCGAGGCGTTAGATCGCGTGTTTTACCGAGGCGTTAAAACCGCATATTTTATCAAGGCATTAAATCACATGTTTTGCTGAAACATTAAATCGCATGTTTTGCCAAAGGAAACAATAGCCAAAGGCTAAGATCAAACACAAATAAATTATTAAAAAGCTTGCCAGGATCAGGTTAAGTCCTAAATTGACGAGATCAAAGGACGACCACCCACATGGGTCCTAAAAAGATCCAACTCAGGTTCAGAAAGTACTTTGCTAAAAATCACTAACCATTCTCTTGTTGATATACCGCATTAAAGTAAAAGCAGCCCAGGCACACATGAAAAACAAAATTAAAAATAAACTTGTTGATACATTGAAACGCAAAAAACGAAATAAGTTGTTCGGAACATGTAGAAATACGAGTACATTGTACAAGGAATAAGATACAAAAACGGGCAAAAACAAAAGAAAAACTGGCTAAGCATTCTCGGACGGCACCATCCCGGTTTCGCTTTGATCCCCGGCGGTCGGAAGAGGAGATGAGGTAAGGTCGGGCGGTGTCTTGTTCAGATTCGCCATTGCATCAATGGTCTCAACATCTCCAACAAGATCGGTAATGATCACCGAGGAGCTTCCTTGGCGGGAGAAGTCTTCAACTAACTCTCGATGCACCTGCCTCCACCACTCCAGGTCGGGGTCCTCGTTCACGTCCCCTTCAAAACCCGGAATCACGTCATCGGGCAAGTCCTCGGCAAGCTCATTTTCAGCCAAGGGGAACTCAATACCAGCACCACTTAATCGTTTCCGGACAGCCTTCACCGCTTCCGAGAAAAAGAAGCGAGCTAGGCCAGATGCTTGTCGAGTGAATGTCGTCGAACGCCATAGCCGATCGAAGAAACGACTGACGAACGCCTCCATAAAACGCAGACCCTCGGAGGAACCCGGGAACAGCCTGTGTCCTTCCTTCACTCCCTCGGTGAAGTTAGAAGATGCCTGCACCCCGGCCGCAAATAGCTCGTTAGAAAGCCCCTTAGCTTTTTCCTCCAAGCTCGCATTATGAGATGCTAGGGAGTCCTTTTCTGCTTGCAAAATCTTCTCCCTCTCTTGCAGCCTCCTCACCTCGGCGAACAACCCCTCCTTCGCCGACTCGGACACCGCCAGACTCTCCTTTAGACCTCGGACCTCTTTTCGGAGCTGGCTGACCTCCTTCTTTTGATTATCATACGCCTCACGAGAGACGTCATCCCACCCCAAAGGGCCCGAAAAGGCGATGGCAAATTGCTACACATACAGGAGACTTAAATGAAACCAATTGTGACTAAGAGACGTAAAAGCTAATTCATGTGTGCGAGATAAAACAAACCTGCGTTATGTTATGTAAAAGCAACTCGAGCCGATCACCCTTGCTCATTTGCCCGAAGTGAGCAACGTCTCGGGGAAGCGCCATAGCTCGGCAAGCAGCAATGGCGTTCTCTGCGTTCTGGCAAAGATGAAGTGCAAAGTTAGGAGGCAGAGGTGACCCAACTTGCCCCGAAGCTGACCCGGTCTGCCCAGGAGTCGATCCGACCAACCCAAGGGCTAGATCAGCCCTTCTCTTCTTCGTGGTGGGCTCTTTCTCCACCTGTTCTTCGGCTGAGGAAGGTGGCGGAGAGGGAACTGCAACTATGGCTGAGGATCGACGAGGAAGCTCGGGATCCTCAACGCGTGGGCTACCTCGGGGACGCGAAGCCCCAACACTCTTCTTAGAAGGCCTTTGCCTTAGAGCCCCCTCTTCGGAGGACCGTTTCTCGGATTCAGCGGCCACAGGGCGCTGAAATTCGGACGCCTGAAATTCCGGCTCCGATTCGGATGGACGAGTCGCCGGCTTGTCGCCTCAGAACATCCTCTTCATCATTAAGTCTGTTCGTGGGATTAAGGAAAATGTGGTGAGCAAGTGGGCAATATATCGACAAGCATAAAGTACAGTCAAATAAAGAGCAACAGCCCGAAATGAATGACGAGCTAATACGAAAAATTAATATCATGTCTAAACCCACCTAAATCCTCTTGAGTTAGGGGATGAGTGCCGTTGTCATGGAAGTAGAAATGGCGAAGTATCGGTGGAAAACTTGTAAGAGTCTCAGGCATACCATAACTTGGTTGAAAGTGAACAATCATTTTCGAAAGCCACTCGTCAATCGCCAGGGGTTTTCCCCTCCGCTTGTCGGGCAAGGTGGCGAACCAAGGACATAGGTAAGGGGTATCAGTGGGGTTTTTCGCAAAAAAGTAGTGGCCCTGCCACCCATCAGTCTTATTGGGCGGCATTAATATTTTGAAACCCGGGCGAGCCGAGACAGAGATGTGGAAGGGACTGGAATATTTTAAGACCATCACACTCTGAAATCGAGCTGGAGTAGGGGTCACGCCCGACCAGGCGCAAAGCATGCGGAAACCGGTCATGACGACTATAGCATGGGGATGAAACTGATTGAGGGACACGTTACACAATTGAGCAATCTCGGAAAACCAAGACGAGATGGGAAAAGAAAGACCGAAATAGAACTGTTCCGAGAACCAGGTGCTGAAACCTGGGGGTGGGCTTAAGGGACGCTGATCTCGAGAAGGTAATATTAGTTCGACGTTAGTAGGAAGACCTATATCACGAACTAAATTGTCTAAGTCTACCTCGCTTAAGGTACTAGGTCCCCACTGGTCGTCTTGATCTCGCCCCCCAGATAATGAAGGAGAGCCACTCCTCGCGGAAGACAGAGCGTCGTCTTTCCCCCTTTTCTTAGATTTTTTCAGTAATTTACCCGAAGGGGAGAAGAAGGGCCCTTCCTCCGAAGAAGAAGAGAGGGTGAGGGTAGGATATCCGTCTCCCTCTCTGGAAGGCATTTTCTGACCAAAAGGGTCGGGGGAATTGGAAGACATAGGTTAAGAACAGTAAAAAGCAGGGTAAAAATGGAGTACCTTTGTCGAAGAAGAAAACAAGCACGGGATGGAAAGAACTCGATTCTCGGAAAAGCAAAGTCGCCGGAGGTAAACAAAGGCAAGGAGAGCACAGAAGTGAAGAAGGGGAAAAAATTTTGAAAATTCGTAGAAGTCAGATACTTATAGGAGAAAGAAAGGAGGAGAATTCGATCGTGACCGTCTAATCGGACGGGCGAGATTCAAAGTAGACCGCCTCGAATCCGGCGCAAGAGGTGTCGATTGGAATCCCTCAGTAATGACCTAGGGAAGAGGGGAAATCAATCATAACCGTCTATTCGGGCGGATGGGATTTAATACAGGGCGTCTCGAATCCGGCGCATAAAGCACTGATTTGAAAGTTCCCCATGATGACTTAGGGAACTCGAATCGACCACACGGGATGTCAGAGTCATTAAATGGAGGAAAAAGTGAAAAGATCGCGTACATCTGACAGATATGAACCAAGGTCCAAACCTACACCTCGTACTCCGTACTTATAAAACGAGGTAAGGAAAAACCAACTCGTCTTATAAATAAGGAGTAGGGGGGAGTAGTTGATACGGGCCATTATGACGAGATGAGCAAAATGCAAATTGAGAGAAGACAAGTTATTATAAGGCCCGATGTCGGACGGCGACCTCCGAACAACGAGCCGGCAATACCATGACTCGTATTCCAGTATAAATCCGACCTAAAGTAGGCCCAATAAGAGAGGCCCAAACATTTGACTTGAGAGGGGAGCAAACCCTAAAAAGGAAACCTTGGGGGCCAAGGTTTCTTCATCTATAAATAGAAGGATCATTAAACACACACACACACAAGAATATACATTAATTACTGTTACATTGCATACACATTTTTCCTCTATTCCGATCACTGACTTGATCGTCGGAGCTTTCCCGCCGGGAACCTCTCCCGGCGTTGCAGGTATCTTCACTGGAGTACGGACCTAGTTGACTTGAAGAAGACAGAAGCCCCACGGACCAAATCAGTATATATACATATATATGTATATATACATATATATATATATATATATATATATATATATATATATATATATATATATAATAAGTGTATAAATGCAGATGAAGGTAATTGTAAAGTACGCGGGTGGTAAGACGTTGAGCGTGGGTGGTTTAAAGAGCACAGATACAATAGGTAAATTGAAGATTTATATAGGGCTTAAAAACAAAATACCGACGGAACTTCAAATGTTGATGATTAATGGCGGAGACGAACTTGTCGATAGCACTACTCTTGCTGAAAACAATATTCGCGATGGCACCGTCATCGACTTCTTGGTACTTATGAACTAGTTATCAATCTTAACCGCCCTTATTTAGTTTAATTCTTTGGGAGAAAAAAATATTGATTAATTATTTGATTATTAATTAGTTTCAACTTTCAATTCATATACCTTGTGATCGAGTTTCTTTATCTTTATTATCTCTATTTTCTTTTTATTAATAAAATTTTATTAGTTAGTTTATAGAGGTTTA